GATGTAGAAAAAAAATTAGACAACCGATACTAAATGAGTTTCAATCTTGTAAACTTCTTAAACAAGTTCCTAAAAAGGTACCAATTGACGAATACGAAGCATAAACTAGCCAACATTCCGATCAGCCATATATTAGGGTGCCCAATAAATAGCCTGGCCCACATCGCCGCCACCTGTTTGGACATTCTAGGACGCACGACTAGCCACTCGCTGACGTCATAAATGACGAATATTACTTTAAATTACTTAATACCATTTAGTTATAATCATAGTTACTATTAACATATATGCCTTATGGTTGTAATCGATAAACTATAAAATAAAGCCTAAAAATAAAGATAAACTATAAAATGAATTCGCACTTATATTTTGTCGATATAAAATATTTTCATTTTTTTTATTGTGACTAAAAAATACTTTTTTGCCTTATACTTATACCATTATACCCTTATACGTTTAAAGGCTCTGTTGGCTAGCGTAATTTATACGTATTTATTATTATTATTACAATTCGTATACTGGCAGTATATTAAAAAACATACACCTTTTAATTAAGTAAGTGTAATATCTCGTAAAAATATCCAGGCATGTGAGCTTTTTATTGTTATACATAATTCTATAACGAGTAACATACAGTAAGTCTAATTACTCGGTCCGTTAGTTTTCACTAATTTAGTTAGTTAAACTAATGTCTATTTGCCATTCGATGGTATTGTTAGATAATTTCTCGATAATTATGACATGGATATACGTTTATGGTTAATAATTTGTCGGTTCTGTTCACCGGAACTACACTAAATTAGATCGTAATAACGTATGATAATTTCTATTTATCGCGTTATGGGAACAATACTCAATTGTATGTAATTACAGTAATAAATTTTGTTGAAAATTTTACTCTGTATAAATAATTGGTGACTTTTGTCTATTTTTAATATTTTATGTCTTTTGTACAATTTCATATTTTCTATTAAATTCCATCTGACTTACGGTAAGAAATATGTAAAACATGCAAGCATATTTATGTTAGCCACGTTAATTTTTATGAAAATGAACTAAATATTCAATTCAAATTCTATTTTTATTTTAATGCTTTCCAAAATCTGTTAGAATTGGTATAATATAAATGTATATTTTAAGATTATGGTACATTCTTAAAAACACGGAATGTTTTAAATATACATTGTAATATTAATAGTTATATTAGCAATTAATTATAATATATAATATTACAATACAATCCACATGTTCGAAAACATTGAAAAAATAGTAAAAGATAATCTGTCTTACTTATTCCCATGGTGATGGATCAGCACAATGTGTCAACATTCATTTTTTAACCCTAGGAGGTAATAAAGAGCAGATCATAAATTTCAGACATGGAGAACGTAAAATCAAATATTATATTAAGCTAGAATCATGCTCAGAAATAGCACGATAATCGTTTGTTATGATTACATCTGTTTAGTATGTGTATTTAAAATTCGGTATATCGCATTAGTTGGACAGAATGTGGTCACGTGAATAATTGATTTGTCGTAATGAGACACACTTATTTTTGCATTCAGAACACGTTCTCGCAAAGTTGTCGGTTGAAATTCATTTACCATCCGCAACTCAATGATGAACTGGCGACTAATTTGGGAGGTTAGGTTATATAATTAGCTATTTTGGTACTAGGTCAGTGACACCGGTGCTTACATTTTATTTAGATTGTGTGAATAAATAAAAGCATATACTGTACCGTTGTTTAGACATATTACAAAATACGTTTTTTTTTTCAAAAATGTTGGGAAGCCATTTTTTTTCTTTTTATACAAATGTTTTAATGAGAGATAATTTCTTGGGTGTTTGCATATTTGGAGAGCAACTTTTCGCTTAATTCAATATAAATTTTATAGAATGAAATACCGTCTAGCGTCATCTTGAATGCGAGAGTCCGATAGAGTTACAGATGTGACAGATGTGATGCGACAGTGTAAAATAAACATGCCAACCACCGTATAAATAATAATTTTTTTTATAATATTTTTTTATCACATGAAATTTCTTAGATAACATATATTTATAAGACGAGAGTTATAATACTTCTATGTACAGAATACGATGTGATGATTTATTTCTCGTCATAATGGGTAACATATTGAGCAATTTCCTCGAGATATATGTACCTCAAACTCGTTGCGAATGAAGTGTTTTTCCATTTCCTGCTTTACTTCTAGCAAAGCGTTCTCATATCCGTACGTGTTTTCGTTACATGACGTAGGTAGGCCTACTTATTTCTGAATGCTGATAGCCTTGTCGTACGTATTCTCATGGGTTTATTAAAGACCTAAAACGTACTCAATTACTCTGGGGAAATTGCCAATCGTCTATAAAAAAAGGAATGTTTGTAAGAACGTATCACAAAGGTATACCAACGTTAGTAGCCATTGATTGTAAGTATTTATTGACCAAGTTTGACCAATCTAATATCATGATTTATGTGTGTTAAGCGACTTCGTATCCGTATAATTTTTTTATTTGTAAATCCACAGGAATAAAAAAATCACAAGTGAAAATCAAACACAATTTGGCTACGCGTTTGTGTATGTACACAAACGCGTAGCCAAATGTATATATTTTATTTTATAATATATAAGTACTTTTGATGCGTCTGTTCGTCGTCTTGTTTTTTAAGGTAACAGAAAATCTAGGCCTGTCCTCGGGATACAATCATCTATTCACGAATTTTTATTAGTATCCGTTCAGTCGTTAGTCATGATAAGGTAACACACACAAAGACACGTGCTCGCTTTTAAAATGGAATGATATACAGGAATGCCACGTCATTTTATTATAGTGAATTTCTATACCAATCCTTAAGCTATTATAAATTCAGCGACACTCTAGGTCGTTGGCAAATATTTGCATTTGCTTTCAGCTATGCGGGTCGGGATATACTCGGTTATTGCCTTCAGAATATTACATGCCTTTATGTTGTAAATTCACGCTGATTCCCAGCTACGTTCTATATTAAATTCAAAATGAGGCGCCTGTTGAGATTTTCTAAATATGTACGTGTTTATATAATTTGCTAATTTGTGTATTTTCTTGACGTACATAATAAAATCACGTATTTCATCCGTCGAGCAGTTTGAATTGTAACCCGTATTTCGGTTTGAAGGGTGTGATGTGATATGGTAGTGAAATATCACCCACCTTAGTACTATAATATTATCTTATCTGTGTTACTATGCAATAGATGTTATTCCATGAGAGGTACCACGAATATCCATGGTTCTCTCTTAAAGAAATATTTCGTATATATTCACATTAAATTTAAGTCTAAAGATTAGGTAACAGGGATGGATAAAAATATCTTCGGACTATATTAAAAAAAAAACTTACTAGACGATTGATAGAAATACTTAAGTACTGTTTTTGTAAATACACACGTATAAATAGAGCCCAAATCGTACCAGCTATTATTGAAAGTCATCCTTGTAGATGATTATACCTGTATGTATGTTGATCTCACGTGAGTTTAAACACAAAAAGCCTACAAAACATCCGACTGTGAACCGGAAAATGCAATGTCAGCGTCATCCATTGTTAATTATAAAAACCAGTCCTTTAGGCCCATATTTATAGCTAGGTACGCGACACTTTTTATGAATGATAATAGAATGGTACACTCGCCCGTGTTAACGGTGGTATACCTACGCTACTGGAGCATCAATGAAAGATTAACAAGTGAATCCACACATAAATTTACCGGGAAGTTTCTAGACTAGACTAGTTTCTAGACTTTCTAGGTCGACTTGAAGTACATTAACTAAAATTACATTACATATATGTATACATACATTACATTACACATTACATACTTCTTGCTCCTTCGGAATGGCAATGCGTAACGAGAGGTACAACGGGCGTCATATGATGACGTGATGTCCGTAGTACTGTTCATGTATATAGGCTACGGTTGCCACTTATTTTTAAGTGGACTGTCAGATTTGCCATTAAAGTTGCATATAACAAGCAAGCAAGGGATCCGCTGGACGTCGATTGTAACAATCCTCTTCTCGCCTTACACGATATTGCTTCCATTGTATGTACCATCTGTTATCTACGAGTACCTACGTGTTATTAGTTTATTTTTGCGACATTACGAGAATGTTTAGATAACCTTTAAATATTCTCGTAATGTCGCAAAAATAAACTAATAACACGTAGGTTTGTAATAAAAGGTATCGTTATTTTATGCAAAACCGAGAAGAGTGTTCGTTACAATGTTAGCTGAGAGTTTATATTTGTACCGTATGCGTAGTAACGCCTTGTTTCTGATTTGAATACATTCAATACTTGGCGTTTCCTTTTTGTTTTTTGTAATATATTTTGTGTTCAATAAATTTAAAAATAAATTTATTTTTAATGGTTTTTATTTGAAATATGTTATTCTGAAATATATGTAGTAGTTATAGTGTGAATTTTCATACGTCATATTGTTATCACTATCACTGTACAATTTATATAATTGTAAATCGTAATGTAGACTTCATTTGTATGTCCCGCATCTATTCAATAATATACATAACTATAAATCTTGTGATAACAGAAATCAACACTTAATGTACCTAACTGAGATTTATAAATCCTTACTTAGTAAAAAATGTAGATTTATAATAAAAAATTACATAACTATATCTTAGCTATCTATGTATGTATCTTTGCAACGTCCCATTAGGAGTCTGCTTTCCTTATCATAAGGTGCCAATGTCATCACTAATATTACAGACGTGCAAATTACTATTTTTTGGCCTCTTGTCGCTTTCAGTTAATTATGATGAAACTTGTATACTCGTAGTTTTGTCATACGAACGAAGTTATGGATGGTATATCACTAAGAAATATGGGTACATAATATACCCATCTATTTTAGCACCGGCTAATGGTTTTTATTTATCAAAAAAGATTGTTAAAATATATATTTATATATATATTGTCTCTTGTTACAGGTTTAAATTTTACGTGTACTCAGCGTTTGTGGAACGGCGGACGGTTGCAGCGGTGCGTATAATCGCCGCCACAAAAACTCGGAACGCAGATGCCGTCATATGCAGAATCTGGCTGCCAGACAACCGCACACTCACACTTAAAGCTAGAGTCAAGGTATTAAAATTATAATATTAACTACATCCGTTGCAATGCGTGCAGTGCAATAAAGGAGATATGAATATCTTTTCGTTGCATTTTTTAACAAAAGCAATTCCTAGCGTAATATTTGGTAAATTTTTTCATCTTTATCCTAGTCTTTTTGCGATACGCAGCATCGACTTTGCTGATCTTGAGGTGCATTGCATTTCGGGGGTAAGCATCGTCCTTTGACAGGTCCAAGCTTCATACCCCTATGGATACTAGTCAGCCATACAGTAGTAGTCATGGAAAAGACGACATGGTTTTCGGATCTTTGCAAAACAATATTAGGTACATTCGAGTAATAAAATATTAGTGTAAAAATTAATATTGTATACCTATAGATAATGCCGGCAGGGCACTAGTGGAAGATGATAGTGGAGTATGAGGTCAGATCAGTTAGCTTCGTGGCAAATTCACCAGAAAATTAACGTGATGTTTAAGTGGGCATCGCTTGGACATCAACCTGAAATGGGATTGGGGTTATTAATTCGCATTATTACCAATCCCTTTTCCCCCAATAATATTGTATTTGACAACAACACAATAATAAGTGTGTATAGCAGACAGACCAACATTTACACAATTTTTAAACAATTTATAACATTACAGTTGATTTTAGTTGAATGAACGAGGTCATGATAATTATAATCGGGAGAACAGTCATACTCCCTAGGTATGCATTATTATTCATACATTACTTAATACATGAATGATACAGTCATGTTCTACAAATGCGAACAGAATCCATTAATAAATTCTACTTTAATAAATATAGTATAGTAATAAATATATGCGGTAATGTTACTGTATCGCATATTAGATAATTTACGGTTTGTGTTTGCACTAATTTCTATATCAACTATGTTGGAACTATGTTTATTATCTGTATATATGTTGTAAAGAATGTTTTAAATAACAACTGATACCCATATCCATACATATCTATACTAATATTTTAAGTGTGAAACGATATCTATCTGTCTGTCTGTTTGGTACCTCTATCGACTAAACGGCTGAAAGTATCCTAATGGAATGTGACATAAATATTATAGATTGTATATATCATTTCTTGAGACGAAAGCACAAACTAAACACTAAAGCCGTGCGTCACATCTATACATATTTGTATATATATTTATGTCAGGTTCCCCACGTAACTCAATCTAGATAACTCGTCATTCAAAAGTTGGAGTAGTACTGATCATGGTATTGGTTTTTATTTATTTTGAATTTATTATCAACAATAATAGGCCTATAATAGGTAGTAACATCACTTATCAATCAGAACGGTTGCATGCCAGGTTGACAGACGAATTTTGTTGGTGGTCTTTTTAATTAAAAATATTATTTTTATTATCTTATACAAATCATATGGTACCGTATAATCGTTTGTCTGTATATGTACATTCAAAACCATGTTGTGTATGTCGTTTTGTTTGTTACTTTTTCACGATTAAGGACCTGACCGAATCTTAAAGAAAAATACCAAGAAGGTACATATATTTATATAAAAAAATATTTGGAAATTATCTGAAATAAGGTGAAATTTTGTGCATACAAAGTCACATAACAGCTAGTATACTATACATTTGGCTGATTAAGGTATACTTTGTTTTTCAGGCCATACGAGAGAATTGGAATTTAAAGTACAGTGCGACATACGTACTATGTTTGCTACGTGACTCGGGAGTAAAACCTCAGGAAACAGTTGGAGCGTCCATATCAGTTGTATCCAGCAGTTGGGCTGGTAGACCGCCCACTAATCTGCTTACAGTCCTGGACACCGAACCTAAGAGTGGTATTGAGGTAGGTTCAAAACTAGAATTGTAGAATATATACTTATTTTGTATTGATCTCGGATAGATAGGTTTAATACACTACCAATGCTTGCATGTCGAAATCTGGCAAAATACAAACTGCGCATTGGTGGGTGTGTATATACTTATATTACTTATTACAAAAGTTTGTCTGTCAGTTATTTAATATAATAGTACAAGTTCTGCTTAACGCTAAGCAGAACTTGTACTAAATAATTGACAGACAAACTTTTTGAAAAACATACAGTACCATTTAGTTCCACGCAGGACTAGATAGGTCTGTCTGTATGAATTGTTAAAGTTTATTTACTTTTTCTTATAGCTGTTTGAACTAATACCCAATTTGTTAATCTGACGCTACAACTGTATACAGATACCTCAGTGTCACCTACTACATGATTTGTAATATGGTTTCTGATAGATATAATTCTTGCTTGTAATTCATTCAATTTTAATGCTCCGTCTAGGTAGAACAGTAGGACTATATTACAGTATATCCCCGCTAACACTAGATTTTATCACGGTTATTTGTTACTTTTCTAAAATAAATTATCATCTTATGTAGTACAATTATGATGCAGAAACAGTCTTGCGTGTTAGCGTGGTACACTAAGTGTACTAATGAATGACGTCCCTAACGATAAAACGCCCTAAATTTTCCAAATGAGAAATTCGGGCGCCTGTTTTTACGACCTCTGTAAGGGAGTAACGGTTGCAATGGTTTGCACAAATGGACATTTATGATGAACATCAACCTACTCATTAAACGAGTACGCATGTTTATTCATTGAATTTACATTACGTACATAATGGTAACTGTAAGTGGTTAAGTTATGGTATGTGTGATAATATGTATGAATATATTCAAATGAGGGTTTTGTATACTATGACCAAAAATATACTTGGTATTTTATAATAATACTACAACAGATCGTGTTGTAAAATAGATACTACAGATATTTTTGAATTATTTAAAATTTTATTCATCATAAAGCTGATTTGCCCGTTCTGAACCCTTTTAGTTTCTTTTCTCATCGTAATTTCAGATATGTTTTGCCTGTCATCATAATCAATAATTTAATATACTTACAGTCTCTAGCTTCTAGCCTTAGGTGTTTAGTCTTTACCTATATTATTAATTTTTCTTTTACTTTGGTAGATAAATATTCCTCACATTGTTTAGTATGTACCTATATTATTTTAATCTATAAAATTAAATGGACAGATATTCCTTACGTTGACTATGAAAATTGATGCTGAATATTTTCTTTTAGGAAAATCTCCACATATGTGTTAAGCCGTTCCATTACTCATACGCCCGTGACGACTGGCTACTAGAATGGTTTGAACTAAACAGGCTACTGGGTGCGAGTCATTTCTACATGTACAACGAGTCACTGAGTGCGCCTGTAGGCTGCCTCATTGACCACTACAGGAAGCAAGGTCTAGTCACACTGCTGCCGTGGAAACTGCCTATAATATCTAAAGTTGAGATAAGGTGAGCTCGCTGTTTTCCATAATTAACTATTATAATGATAGCGGTGACCTCGATGGTTTTGCGGTTTAGCACACCACCATACTATCGATTGTCTCTTCCTCGCACGATACAAATTTTTGTATACATGTGTATGTATTATATTTATTATCCTTATTGTATTATTATTTCATTGTTTAATTGTTATTATTAGCCTTGGTATTTTCTATGTGTTTTAGAAAACAAAAATGTATTTAAGTAGATAGTTCAATTTTAGAAGTATTTAAGTGGAGATGAGGTGGTATAAGTTTGATGTGTAACTAGTGTAGTATTTGTTCGTTGCTTCGTAGGTCCTAAACGTATGGAGCGATTATAAAAGATTTTTTGTTTGAAAGCTGACTTGTCTAGATGATTTTTAGATACACTCTATGAAGAACTATTGAGGCGCTTCACAGACATTAGCTATATTTGTACGCTGCGGTGGAGATACTATACACATATTGCCTTTAGAGTTTTTTTTTGTGTCGGCGGAGACTTTTATATTTTGTATTATTTATTATGTATAGAACTGAGGGACAATTCGCTGCGTTCAATGATTGCCTATATCGGTCGATGTCAACGGCCGGTTGGTTGCTGGTAATCGATGTGGACGAACTGGTTATCCCGCGCCGCGAGAGGACGCTGCCCGCGTTGCTCACAGCACTGCGGGCCTCCTACAATCCACCATCGAAGTCACCAGCCGCCTTTCTGTTTAGAAACGCATTCTTTTATCTTCGATGGGAGGTATGTTGAGATAATAATATTCCTTTTATTATATTTTACTGTACATAAACTGATATTGATTAGGTTAGCTTAGAGTCTGTATTTTTCAGAGCTATTATGCACCGATATATTTACAAAAAAATGTAGTATTAAATATTTCAATCAGTGCAAACTCTGTCTTATTGTACCAGACTATTTATTGCTTCTATTAGAGGCAAAAAACGTGCTGATAATGGTAGCTGAATTAAACAAAATAATAAACATAAATTAAGTAATGAAATGGATTTTGTAAAAATTTCTACAAAATAAATCACAACTGTGACTATGCCTTATAATAAATAATTAAATTTCGTGTTTACAATATTTCGTATTTTTGTGTGAATTACTGTAGTCGCATCCTGCGGGCATACAAAAACCACAGATAACATAATATTACATACAAAAACCAAATGATTTTAACATACTACATTTTTAGTTACTCAAAATCAAAATCAAAATCAAAATATCTTTATTCATGTAGGTCTATTACAGACTCTTATGATATGTCAAATCTACCGTCAGTTCGGAATGATTTCGAGATGAGAAGAACTGACAAGAAACTCAGCTCGTATATATTTTTTTTAATGTTGTACATATTTATAATAATACTATTTCATTTAAATTCAAATTTGGGAGAATAGAGTGACCACCAGCATATGCTATATAAAAAAAAAATAAAAAAAATAAAAAAATCTAATCAGTATTCGCAACCTGAACAGACCAGTCCCCACAAGCAGCACCCGTTCACGAGTATGACGGATGACCCAGCCATCATTGTACTCAACCATATTAGAGGGAGCACATCGACCCGGCCCACCACGCCGCCATAAGTTTGAACTTTATAGCGAGCATGACTGTTTCAAGTTACTCCACTACGTCATTTATATTATTTACAACATAAACTGTACCAATCACAGTTTTCACCCATTACAATATTTAAATTACAATATGTCATTACTAAATTTAGAATAAGTTTCTTTAGTGTTTATTACATTATCTATGTCAATGGGAAAGTTATATACTTCATAACAAAAGTTAACATTATAATTAAGTCCACGCATTGTAGTCATTCAAGTAGTCGTTTATTTTATAATAAGCTTTAGCGCAAAGTGTATTTTTTACATGTATCTTAAATTTCCCTTCATTTAAATTCAAAACATTATCGGGCAATTTATTATAAAAACGTATACAATGTCCCATGAAAGATGTACTTACTTTTTTGAGACGATAACTAGGCATATTTAATTTATTTTTATTCCTTGTATTAAAACCGTGTAAGTGACTATTCTTTGTAAATAAATTTAAGTTTTTACGTACGTACATTATATTTTCATATATATATTGAGAGGGAACAGTAAGGATACCTGTTTCTTTAAAGCGTTCTCTAAGAGATTCGCGACACGGTAAATTATATATTGAAGAACTGCTCTTTTTGTAATATAAAAATTGATTCTACGTCAGCCTCCCTGCCCCACAATATAATACCATACGACATTATACTATGGAAGTAACTAAAATACACTAGCTTCGCTGTTGCAGTATCAGTTAATTGTCTAATTTTTCTGATAGCAAAAGCAGCCGAGCTAAGTCTTTTGGCCAGTGTGAATATATGTGGTCCCCACTGCAATTTATTGTCTATTACAATACCAAGAAAAGAAGTCTCATCAACAAAGTCCAAAACATGATCATTCAAACTAACATTTGTCATTACTTGTTTTACATTTGGTAAAGAGAATTTAACACACTTTGTTTTCATTGAATTAAGCGCTAGATTATTTGATGTAAACCAGTTAAGAATATCTTCAAGAGCATTATTTATATTACTAAAATCCTTATTATTTCTTTTCACTTTGAAAATAAGTGATGTGTCATCAGCAAACAATACAATGTCAAGGATGTTTTGAAACTGGTATGGTAAGTCGTTTATGTAAACAAGAAAAAGAAATGGGTCGAGGACAGAACCCTGGGGTACACCCATTTTTATATATGACCCCTTAGATTTGCTTCCTTTAATGTCTACTACTTGAATTCTATCGCACAGATATGATCCAATGAGTTCTAAGGACTTTTCTCTAATTCCGTAATGTTCTAGTTTAAGCAATAAAGTCCTATGGTCGACGCAATCAAACGCTTTTGAGAGATCACAGAAGACACCAATGGCATCCTGTGAATCTTCCCAGGCACCGAAAATACTTTGTACTAAGTTAATGCTTGCATCAGTGGTAGACCGTCCTCTCGTAAATCCAAATTGCTGTTTATGAAGTAAATCATGTGTATTAAAATGAGCTAACATTTGTGTAAGTAATATCTTTTCAAAAATCTTACTAAATACTGGCAAAATTGAAATAGGTCTAAAAATTTATATATTGTCTTTGTCACCAGATTTAAATAGCGGTATTATTTTACTCACTTTCATTAGATCTGGAAAGATACCTTGATCAATGCTCATATTAAATATTTCAGTTAAATGTGAAGCAACTTCGTTTATTACTGTTTTCATTACTGTAACTGACATACCCCAGATATCCTCAGTGCCCTTTAGATTGAGAGCGTTGAATGTTTTTATTATACAGGAGCAGCTGATATGGTGAAAATGAAAGTCATAAACGCATGGACTTACAGTATTTTTTAATAATGTTTCTGCTAGACTAGGTGACGAGTTTAACCTTTCTGTAGCTTTGAGAGGTATTGTGGAAAAGAAATTATCAAAAGTTTGAGCAACAAGTTCATTTTTATCAATAATGACACCATTTTCTGCTTTTACCTCATATTCTAACTGTCGCGACTTAGTGTTACCTGTTTCCGTATTTATTATATTTCAGGTAGTTTTTATTTTATTTTTAGAAGACTTTATTTTATTTTTCAAATTAAGTGCCTTTGCGGCCTTACATACTTTTTTGAATATCTTTAAATAGTTTTTAACATATTCGTCGAATATAGGATCACGCAAATAGGACCTAATATCATATAGTTGATACATATTTTTCCTACTTATATAAGTACCTTAGTACTTATTAAGTATTCAGCATACTTAGAATTATGGACTTTAAATTTCTTTACTGTAAATTTTTTATCAAAATGCGTTTTTATTATATTGAGAAAACGACTATATGATATATTTGGATCAATATTGTCAAATTTTAAAAACTGTAAACTTTCATTTAATTTGATTTTAAATTTCTGTAATTTAAATGCTGTTGTTGGTCTGTAGAACTTATATATAATCTCGTTTTTTTCATTACATGCGAATGGTGCTATTTGTCCGCAATGGTCTGACGGCAATGTATTTATTATAGATTTATTTAAAATACTAAAATTACAATATATATTATCAATACATGTTGCTGTAGTGGTCGTAATCCTTGTAGGTTTAGGTTTTAGAAGAAAATATGATCAAGATCAAAACTTTTAAAAAGGTTTCTAATTTTATTACTTATAGGACTATCAACAAGAAGATCTATATTGAAATCCCCACATACCAAAGTAAATTTGTTACTTTTGAATGGTAACTTCAGTACATCTTCCATGGTAGACTCAAATTTTTCATAGTCTGAGTTAGGAGGCAATTACTAACCAATTATAACCAAAAAACTAGTCATCGTTTTATGTTAGAACGAATGTGACCCTAGTCAGCGTATAGATTTAATATGAAAATAAAAATTTTCCAATTAATGTGCCCAACTACTGTATTGAAATTGTGAGATGGCGGTCTTCTTCATTTCTGTAGTTAGTAGCGCCTGTAAATTCTGCTCTTCAGCACTTTTGGATAAGGTTCTGCGTTGCATATGTAACATATCTGTAATTTGTGTTTGTACCTATGTATTAACATTGATTTATTAGGAATGAAGATAATATTTTAAGCAAGGTGATAATAATGAATATATATAAAGGCAGAGGAAGGTCGAAAAAGAGATGGATGGACTGTGTGAAAGATATAAATAGTAAATAACGAGATGACAGCGAACAACGATGGAAGAGAAAAACATATTACGCCAACCCCAAATAAATGGGATAAGAAAGAAGTAGATGATGCTTGATTAACATTAAATAAGACTATTTTTTGTTTTACTAACAAAATGGGCAGAAACCATGAAAATAAATAAATAATTATTCTAATTTAATTTCCAGGATGACGCAGAAGCGACGGCGTCATTGGTGACGGCTCGCAAAACACGGCGGTGGGCGACTCCCCACGCGCTCAAGAACCGCAGTAAGTACGCGCTGCGGCCGCGCGACACCGTCGAGCTCGGGAACCACTTTGTTTGGGAGCACGCGCCCGGCGCCAGTTCTGCTGGGGTACCCACCGATCGAGCTCTTCTACATCACTATCGGGTATATATTTTTGATGTAACTATAATTACTATAACTAGTGGTCGAAATTCGACCATAATTAATTTAAATTATTTATTTATTTAATTAAGACAATATAAACTTACAGCTAATTGCCAACACTTTATGGTTATGTTTCACATTCAGTAAGACTATAGATATACAATACACATAATATTGAAGACAAACAATATTTATCTATTATTATTTTGACATATGCTTGTGTAGCGTGTATGGCATACAGTAATAAATAGTGTGTGTAATATTTTTATTATTGAGTTAATGTATTTTTTTAAGCATAATTAAAAAAAAAACTTGGTTTACTGCACTTCTTCTCTTTTAGTGCTTTTCCTTCGAGTTTCGACCCACTATAATAATTGGTAAAGATACAAAAATACAGTTAAGAAAATCTTTAAGTAAATACGTCTCATGCTTTTTTCTGTGATATAAATGTGAATTTATATATAAATGTTAATAATAATCTATATTCAAACAACGCATTTCCAGGCTGCTTGTGAGTACGGTGGTATGAATTGCTTGACAGTCCCGTCAACAGTAGACCGCATGGCACACAGATGGACCGAGGAATTACAAAAGAAAGTTGCTGACGAGAACCAGATACTCGCCAGGGTTTGCCCGAAGTAAGCAGATCCCGTATTATTTCCGATATATATGATTAAATGGTAATGATTTGTTGATTAATGGTTGACTTTAATAAAACTATTGTGGTTGTAAATAAACAGAAAAAATCGCGTCCTTATCTCGCGCAATCTGTTATTGTACATATCTCAGTTCATATACAAGGGGATAGTTTACAAATGATATGTTTAAAATACACAAATTAATTTGCTCAAACCCACACGGATGTTTTTGCTAAAAGAATATCAAACATTTTTAAGCTTTTGATTTCATTGAATAGGAACATTTGATTTGCAGCTCAATGTCGACTTGAAAAAAATATTTTTTTTAAACATGTTGTTTATGAACCCCATAATTTAAATATGTTAATTTATATTGATACTAAAAAATAATTATAATAGATATGTGATTATTATTGTTTCGTTACCTATAACTTAATATCATTAGGTTAGAAATTAAAAAATGGCAACAAATTTTTTTATGCAATTGATTTTTAATTTAAGATTATAATTATGTATAAATGCCCCAAATATGCATAATATAACCATAATAAAGAGGACCATTATAGGGCTGACGATTCTCTCTCAAATTGTGAATTTGTATAGAGCAAGAAAACCAATGACAGTTTGTATGTTAAGGCCCAAAATTTTGTTCTGTGTTCAGATCAGTATGTAACTTATTGTAATGTAGCTAATGTAATGAATATATTTCGAGGTATGGATTAAGAGTCAGTAGATATATGTTGAGTATCTACATTTAATGTCACAGTTTTTGAATAAATTATTCAGAATGTTCATCTCATTTTCATGAAATTTCATACAAACATGTTTTTTTTTATTAGCAAAAGATCTCTGTTCTTTCGTTTAATTATTTGTCGATACCAATATATTTTTTATGAAATTAGTACATATATTTGTATATTTATTTACAGCTAATGTGAAGAAATTTCGCTTATCAGCTTATGTGAAATATGTATGTAAAAAATGTGCCATTTCGTGTTGTGTTATTGTATAACGTACCAATAGTTTGCTCAATAAATCAATTATACTATCAGTATTACTGTAACATTCGAAATTAACGATGTTAAATTTTAGAAGGTACTTGATATTTTATGTCAATGAACGTGTACGTGTATAAATGAATATTGGAACGGACTTTTCTAGAACATTCCGGAACGTGTACCTAATATCATGGTAGAAGGTAGATTCATTGTACTAGTACGTGCATCGATAACGAGTTGATAACCGCTATCGATGGGCATGAACGTATATTTTTAATAAAGAGAGCAGAACCACATATGACTAAAATAATTGTCGTTAGTTGAACTATTGTTATATCTGGTCAAAAAGGTATTTTATAATTATTTATTTTCTTGTAAGACTTAAATTAAATGGATTGTATCTTGTTTTATTAAATATGTATGTTTTTTATTTTTTTTAAAAAAGGAAAGTATTTTCTACGTATATTTTTATACGTACCGTTTCTGTTAGTGTATTACATATTTGAAAATCACATCTGATCTAAATAAATCTTCATAATTTCTAAATAATAAGTATCCATTTATTGGACATCATAAAAGTCATTGCAATAGTTACATAGTTATATTATTAATATATTTCTAATGAAAAAATGTCTAAGAGGCCAATGTCAGCTCATCGGTTAATTTGTAAATTTAATAATAAAAATGTACATACATATATAACAAATAATATATTTGTCTTGTAAATATTACATGTAAATACGTGCACACATTCATGATATAGGTACATACTTAAAGCTATGAAATGTTGTTTAGCGTCGTACCATTTGCCATTCTTGTCATAGTTGTTTTAATCTATTTCACTGTTTAATAACACAGAATTTTAATATTCGTGGTATGAATATTATATAATATAATTAATTATTTATATAAGGATCATACATAATATCCGTACTATAAAGTTCACAATTACAACACCATAACTCATAAGATTAAGTGGGCGTTTTATTATTAAATGGTCAAGACAAACGCAAACCCACACATTCAGACCAGGAAGAATCTGAACCCAAATGACAATCGTCTATATATAATCTAGAGCAAATCGCCTGATATGTCGAATTTACATAACTGTCTATAACTGGCATTCCATTGTGTTTAGGTCTGAATTTCAGGTCAGGTCATATCAGGTTCTGTACGTACGTATGATAGTCAGAAGAAGTATTGTACTTTTATTTAACAAACCTTCTAATTTAAATATACAAGCCGGTATCAAAAATGAAAACAGAAAATGTTGTTTAGCTAGTAATAATCTTGCGGTTGCTTAGTTGTCTTTGTTAAAAACTTTATTTGCCTTCTTATGTGGATAAAATCATCATCCATGATCTTCAATATGACACATACATAATTTAGATTGAAATATTGCATCGAATATAATATACAAATGAGACATGAAATGTTGTTTAAATCCGATAAGTAGTCAAAATACACAAATAGAGGTTTAAAACAGTTCGAGAACAAGAAATTTGTCATATATCTAGACACTCGCATCTCACGTACCTCATGAAATTTTAATCGTCATCATTTACTTTTGTAATATGCATACAATATCTTGAATCACATAAAGATGTTTAAGGCATTCCTATAGTTGTTAAATCTGTACGTATATTTAAATTAATATCAAAATTATAATAATATTGATCAACATTTACTGTCTTTGTCCTTTTCTGATAATTATATTCAGAAAAAAGACAGGGCTAGCAATATTATAGGTACCAAATAATTTATTACATTAGGAAATCTACTTTCCAAAAGTGTGTAAGGTAATCCTATATGTAATAAAATAATCTTTGTTCATGTTGTAACTACTTTTATACTATTATTTATGAATTTATATCATAATGACAGTTAACAGCAAAATTACGAGTAGAATCGAAATATGCTATTTATCAAATATTCAAATACAGACATAGTTCCCGGGTTAAATAAATACTTTATATACTCTACATACATATGTATGTATAGATACAGATATATATATATATATAACATTTTTCTATTTTTAATCTATCTATATATTCGCAAATAGGTATACATTAGTTATATAGACAAGCAGCCTCATATGGTTGCCATCCCTGACACGAAATTTTATTTTGTCATAACGTTATCTATAAATTATTCATACCGTTTTACTATTAGTACTTAATATTAAATTGCATAATATAGGATCTTAAATTTAAATTGTTAGATACTTTAAATTTGTACAGTACATATTGTTTAATGTGGTATGTACACAAATATAATGCATGAAAATATATCGTATTTACAATTATATAATTATGTGACAATTCGATATTGTACCATAGTACTTTTCTATAAAATATTGGTAGTTAGTTTTCCGTAAGTGCTTATAGATAAGTTATAGAACAAAAAACTCTGATACTACACAACATATCAGTAACTCACCAATTCAATAACGGTCCACAATTTATTAAATACAAAATGGACGAAAACATACAACACAGAGCAACAACTATTCAATTTTAGCTTGTACATGTACATAGTGACCAAAATAAAACTTATATTCTGTTTTTCTTTAGGTGATATATAGAGATGGTAAATAATTGTAGCATGTCATTTATACATAATCCAGACCTTAAAAAATACCTTACGTGACTATTTTTTTAAATTAATTGTTCACTTTATTTGTCTTTGTTATATAAGTAGACATGGTCAAATAATTTATTAATTATACTATGTATTTAAAGGAAAACAGAATAAAGAACATTACACAAATAGCATGACGTTTTAATTTTATTGCTTAGGCCTACGAAATAATTTTGTTCTCTATTTTTTTAAGAATATTTTTAAAATGAAATGACAATGTTAATTGTACAATATTGATATGATGCCTATATCTGTGTAATTTGTGAAAATAAAATAAATGTTAGTTTCTTTTCTGTTTATAGATATTTTTATAATTATGAATGTATCAATGTTTTGGTTAGTATAAAAATGACTTAAATGCTATTAGTATGCCATTCTTTATATTTGATATAATAATATAGATATTGTAATTCTTGTGTTAAATTAAATTATATATTGAAAAATATTTTCTCCTATTGAATATTTGTACCAAATTCATTTAAAGCAACTTATTGTGTTAGAATAGAATGCTAATGTATGTGTTCGTTTAGAATATTTCTATTGGTGCCATTGTGTTTTGATTATTTATATTCCATTGACTTTGGCTGAACTTATAGACTGCAAATTGTATTCGCCTAGGGTAGATGGGTTTTGTATCATTTAATATCATACAAAGCTAAACAGCGTTTGATAGGCGACCCGTAAAAAGTTTAGTGGCAAAATATATTTTGTGTCTATATTTTATCTGTGATGTCTATTTTAGAAGTGAAGGGTTGTATTGATTGAAGAGTTAAGGCGAACTGTTAGACGAATGTTGAAAAGGTCTTTTTTAAAATAAAACGATATTGACTTCATCTTTGTTTTATTGATTTATATAGATATTATGCCTATGTCCAGCAGTGGACGTCTTCCGGACTGCGATGAGGATGATGATGATGATATAGATATTATAGACAGAACAACTACCCTGGCAACATTGCCGCAGTGATGCACTAATGTTGTATTTTATTAATTTATAGGTACAACTGTACCTATATTTGTGGAAGAATTTATTAATAGTGTCACTCAATTATTAATGAATGGGAAAAACTTCAGAAGAAGAAAAGAAGGTGAAACCGGGAACTGCAGAAGGTAAATAATTTTTCTTTCGCCGAATATGCAGTCTATTTAATTATTTATGACGGCCTCGGTGGTCTAGCGGTCTAGCACATCGCTTTAGGACCTACTGACCTACTTACGATGGTCGCGGGTTCGATTTCTCACACAGCACAAACATTAGTATTCAAGAGTATGATTGTATCGGTCTGGGCGTTTTCTATGTATAATATGTATGTATTTACAAAAATATATATATCTATGTATATGTATCAGCTAGCTAGTACCCATAACATAAGCTTTAGCTAACTTAACTTGGGTCTAGATGGCGCTGTGTGAATTGTCCTGAGATTATTATTATTTCACCTTCTGACTGCATATTTAGTGATCTCCAATATGGGCGACACCTACCAAATTGTGAAAAGATATCTATACGACTGCAGCGCGCTCTACATCTCTGGTATAATGTTATAAGTTAACTTACCTTTACCTCTCCATTGTTGCGCCATCTTGTGTTGTAACAGTAAACTACGAAATGTGAGCTGGAAAGTAAGTTCACTCACATCAGATGGCAATACATGTACAAATTTTCTGAAAACAAGCCTTTAGTAATATAAAGTAAGTACTAACAAAATCGAATGAAAAACCGTACATAAAAAGTTCTTACTTAGAAAGATACTATTTTGATTAAGAAAAGAAAATCTAGTCGATTTGAAAAAATATATGAAAGCAGTATTTATGGCGAAAAATTTATATTATTAATTGATAAAGTTATCTTTATTCCTTACTAGCTGTGCTCGTTCGCCCCTTCGTCCGCGTATTAGTGACCTTGACCAAATAAAAAAAATAATCTAACCCAACAGAGGCAAATAAAATGTGTCATCTACTTTCAAAAATGATAATTTTCATTAAAAAAACATTCAGCCCCTATTTTATTTTCCCCTTTTAAGGGTCCCATTTTTGCAAATGTTGAATGTCATATTTATTTATGTTTAATCAACAACCA